AAAGGAATTTAAACTAAATGAAATTCATTTATGTTCATTTGGAACATCCTCCGGGGGGGCAGATGATGAGGCGTGTAACGGCAATTTGCACAACTTCACAATCGGACGAGTACATTCTCCGTTTTTAGTTTTCAATGTTGCGACGCGATGTAGACCATCTTTGCTTGGGTGCATAGCGATGACTCTTGCCATGAGCCATTTTGCAGGTGGTGTATTATCGTCTACGATAATCACTAAATCGTTTATTCGGAGCTCTTTTTGTTGCTGCTCCCATTTCTTCCGGGGGTGCAACGTGTGTAAATACTCAGTGAAAAATCGCTTCCAAAATATTTGTAGTGATTTTTGGATGGTTTGGAAACGATCGAGGGTTTGATCTTTTAGAGACAATAAACTTGGTTCAGGAATCGCATTAAGTGGCTGACCGATTAACAAATGAGCGGGAGTTAACGGATCAAGATCATTTGGATCGCTTGTGATGCTGCACAATGGTCGTGAGTTAATACACGCTTCGATTTGTACTAACAAAGTGCTCATTTCCTCATACGTGAGTTTTTTCGCTGTTGTCATACGACGAAGATGGTGTTTAGTGAGTTTTACATAGGATTCCCACTGGCCGCCCCAATTCGGAGCACTTGGTGGATTGAAATGAAAAGTAATTCCGTCGGATGCAAATAAGTGCGCAATTTCGTTTGTTACAGAAGACGATGCTTGCAAAAAAAGTTGAGGCAATTCGTTGCTGGCGCCTTGGAAATTCGTTCCGCGATCACAATAAACATCTTTGCAAATGCCACGTCGACCAATCAATCGTCGCATGGCGAGAATAAATTTTTGAGTGCTTAAATCGCTGACCACTTCCAAATGACAAGCCTTTGAAACCATACACACAAACACGCATATGTATCCCTTGACGGTAGGTGAATTTCGTCGATCACCGCTTTTAATTTCGATTGGGCCGGCGAAATCCAAACCACAGTGAATGAATGCTCGTGCTGGGGTCGTTTTTATCGTTGGCAGAGGTGCCATTAATTGAGTCATTGGAGCAGGGCGCTGACGATAACATTCAATGCATTGATGAATAAACGATTTAACATTGTTTCGCGCGTTTAAAATCCAAAACTCTTGACGAGTTCGAGCCAACGTCAGATGAATTGTGCCATGTAGAGTTGTTAAATGAGCCCAATCGATGATTAATTTCGTGAAATGACTTTTCGATGGTAGAATCATTGGAAATCGTTGCCTTTCGGGTAATTGTGCGTACCTTAGTCGGCCATCAACGATTAAAATCCCATTTGCGTTGAGTTTGGGGTTGAGTGATCGTAGTTGACTTTTATCATCGATGGTGTTGTTTGTTTGTATGTTGGCGATGTCTTTGGAGAAATACAGCGATTGAATGTATTTAATCCAAACCAATTTTGCGCGGTCAAGTTCGGCGGGTGTTACGTATTCGGACGATTTTTCCTTTCTGTAACGTGGAGCTCGTCGTAGTATGCGTGCAGTGACGCGAAGTAAGTGTATCAAGTTTGAAAATCGTAGTAGAAAATCCGATTCGATTGGCTTTACTTGAGTCAATGTGATATTTATTTTATTGCTTTTTTCTAAATCAATTCCAGAAGGGAGAGCTAATGAGATTTTTGGCCAATGCTTTTCGCTTTGCGTTAGCCATGATGGTCCATGAAACCATAGAAAATTATTGATTAATTGACTAGCTAATACACCGCGTGTGGCAATGTCAGCGGGATTTTCATGTGTTCGAACGTGTCGCCAATGATTGGAAGGATAAAGATTTTGAATTTCTTGCACGCGATGTGCTACATATTGCTTCCAATGAGACGGATGAGCTTGTAACCATGTCCAAACCACAGAAGAATCCGTCCAAAGATAAATATTTTCCTTTGAAATGTTCAAATTAATCGCGACTTTATTCATGAGAGTTGCGAGTAAAACAGCACCGCATAGTTCCAATCGAGGAATTGACATTGGTTCAAGTGGTGCGACGCGTGTTTTTGAGCAAAGCAATGTTGAATTCGAACGATTGTCAATTGTTTGAACGATGTAGATTGACGCAACGTAGGCTTGTTCAGAGCTATCGCAAAACCCGTGAAGTGAAGTGCATGATTCGAATGTTGTATGACACCAACGAGTGAGTTTGATTTTTTCAATAAGAGGCAATTCAGTTTTGTATTCATTCCAGTCACGTTGAATATCTTTATTGACTGGTTTATCCCATTCAATGCCTGATTTCCAGACTTGCTGCATCATGAGTTTTGGTTTTATTATGATAGGACTGAGGAGACCACAAGGATCGAACAATTTAGAAGCGTCAGAAAGAAGTTTGCGTTTAGTTATTCGTTCTCCTTTAAAGAAACTCGATAAATCAATCGTAAATTGCAACTGATCAAGTTTTGGAGACCATTTCATGCCAAGAGTTTTTATTGCTTCGTGTTTGTTGAGTTGAAGCGTTGAATCGATTGCTCGGTGTTTGATCGGAACATTCGATAAGACTGATTCGTCATTTGATGCCCATTTTCGAAAAAGTAAATCGCCTTTCTTACCCCATTCAGTTAATTCATGTACCAGTTGAATGGCCGTTTCACGAGAGTCGCTACCACTTGAGCAATCATCAACGTACATATCAGTTTTTATTTTATTTGCTGCTAAAGGGAAATTTTCTTTTTCAGCATCGGCGAGTGCAAACGTGGATTTTATAGCTAAGAAAGGGGATGGTTTGAGGCCAAAAGTGACAACATTTATGTGATATGCACGAATAGGGTCTTTTTCCGAAAATCGCCAGAGTATTTTCTGGTATTTTCGGTCCTCGGGGGCCACAAGAATTTGACGGTACATTTTTTCAATATCACTCACAATCGCTATTTTGTTCAAACGCCAGCGAATGAAAATATCAAATAAATCGGGCTGAATGGTTGGCCCATTCAAAAGTCGATCGTTAAGCGAGTAACCGTTTGAAGTTTTTGCGGATCCATCATAAACTGTCCGCTGCTTTGTTGTCGTGCTACTTTCGCGTGTCACACCGTGGTGTGGAAGATAATATCCATCATTTGAATCATTACAAAGAGACATGTGACCTAAATCTAAATAACCTTGAATATCTTCGTTGTAACGGCGGTGAAATTCGGGATCTCTTTTAAATTTTTTCTCCATTTGATACAATCGTTGTAATGCTTTAAATCGTGAATAAACCAAGAAGTTTGAATCGGTTGGATCAGTCGCAAATGGCAATGACACCATTATTTTACCGCTATCTAAACGCTTGAAATGTTTGTTGAAATGATTCATGCATTGGTCGTGTTCTTCGGATAAAATTGGTTTAGATGATATTGTTTCATTTTCCCAGAAACGTTGTAATTGATTAGATAGTGAAATCGAGTTTATGCGAACGCTACAATTTTCTTTATCAGACATTGCACCAAACACGAGCCAGCCGAGAGATGAATTTTGAGCGACTGGTTCCGTTGGTAGTCCTTTTCTCAAACCGTCTTGAATTATTAAACCGTAAATATCAACACCGAGTAACATATCGATTTGAGCGGCGTTCATGAAGTCAGGGTCGGCGAGAGTAAGCCCGTCTAAATGTTTCCAGTTCGTGACTGGCGGAATGTATTTTCGAGCAGCAATAATCGAGCGCATAATTGATGCATTTATTTTTAATTTAAATGAACTATCTGTGTTTGATTCAATTTCGAATTTCATACAATTTTTCGCGGTTCCGAGGGGAACGTTATTGACTCCGGTCATTTCCATACTTTGGAGAAAACGAGGTAAAGATAAAAGTTGAGCTGCGCGCTCTGAGATTATTGCACCTTGTGATCCGTTGTCAATGAACGCTCTAAACAAATATTTGATTCCGTTTTTGCCTTCAACTTTTACGATGGCGGTTGCTAACAATTTATTTTCGTACATACCCACGTAATCACTCGATGAAGTGTGCACTGAATTTACTCCGCTTCTTATTGTTGATGATGAATTCTCGTGTAGTTTCGTGTTGTGAGCTCCGTTACACACTCTGCAACGGTATTTCGATCGGCACGCTTCTTCGTGTTTATGAAAACAAATCGGGCACAGATGATTTTCGTTGACAAATTTCTTTCTTTCTTCCACTGACCATCCTTCAAATGTTGGACAGAAGAATACATAATGAGGCTCGTGGCACAAAACGCATTGATTTTGCTTTTGTGGTTTTGTGTTAGGTGAAGTGGCGTTTGATGAGATTGCGTTCATGTTCACAGCGGGTTGATGTTTTGCCGTTGAATTAAATGATTTCAAATTGAAATTGTTTTCTGCGGTATACAACACACGAAATTGAGTTTCTAAAAATGCAATCAACTCAGAAAATTTTGGGATTCGTGAACTGGCTCCTACTTGCTTCTCCCAATCGGTTTGTAACGCAACGTGCATTTTTGTTTGGATGATAAAAACGATAATTGCATCCCACTCTTCTACAGGAACATCCAATTGTTCGATGCACTGAAGCGACTCTTTGGTTGTATCAATTAAAGTACGCACCGATGAAGCATATAAATTTTCGATTTTGTCTTGACTAAAAATTGTGTCTAAACATGTATTTACTATGACTCTTTTATTGTGAAAACGTTCGCGTAATAATTTCCAAGCAATTTTATAGTTCGCTTCTGTGATTGGTAATTTACTGATTGTTTTAAATGCTGTACCCTTTAATAAACCTTTTAAATAATGCATTTTATCTACATCGCATAATTCGGTATCTTGATCGATCAATGAATGAAAAGAATCATAAAACGTTGTCCATTCTTTATAGTTTCCGTCGAAAGTGGGTATTACAATATCCGGTAGTTTCACCTTTTTTTCTGATCGAGTATTCGTGGTTGAATTTAAAACAGAGGACCCGTCGGCACCTTGAGTATGGATTCTCAAAACTGCCATTGTTGTGATGAAAATTTCCCTAATATCTTCAGTCGGAGGATCTAAATCATTGAAATCAAATTCATCGCATTCTTCCATTTCCGATATTATCAGTTTAAAACGCTCATAACTATGTTCAATTTCAGACATTCGATTGAACGCTTCGGCATTCGATGCGTCTTTTGACATGTCTTTCACTTTTTTCTCATGATACTGTAATGCTTTGACTGCGTTAGCGCGTTTTTTTAGTAATTTGTCGTATTCTTTACCTTTAGCCATTGTAAATTGATTTTCAAGAATGAGTTTTGTTACAAAATTGTTTTATTTATTCGAGTTGCTTGACGAAGTGTTTATGAATGTATTTGTTTTTGTGTAAATTGTATTGTGCAGCACGCTTTGTATGAATGATTTCTTAAGGTTAAATGAAAAGGAATTGATTGTTTTTATTCGGTGTACGACTGTTTCTTTTGTGGATTTATTTATTAATTGGAAATTGAAGTATTTTTTATTAAAAGTAATGAAAAAATGTATAAAAATTAAAGAGAATGTAAAATTATTGAAGACTAATGCTATGGTAATGCTATTTTCTAGACTTTTTTCAGTGCTTGGTATGGGATGTATGTTTAAGTGCAAGTATACATGAATGAGTTAACGGTTTTACTTAAGATGTGCGTTTTGACTGAAAGAATTTATGCGAGTGATTTTCTGTGTGGAATGTAATTTGAATGCGATGTTAAACTGAACTGTTGAAATTTAAATGATTAGGGTATTGAGTGTACGATGGTAGATTAAAATGTGCAACAAAAATTGAAGCGATTTTTACAAGTATTCATTAGCTAAGTTACGAGTGATTCTCTTGAGTGCGTTTTTTGACAAATGAGTAGACTTATCTATTGCAATGGCGAGGTGAACACCCTTTGGAGCGTTTTTGTTGAGTAATGGCACGATTCGAGTTGATTCTTTGGCTGTTGTTCCTTCAAATTGATCAACGATATGCCTTTCAATTTCTTTATTCGGCCGATTATCGTTTTTCACTTCAATTTTGAAGTTTTGAGCAAAATTGTGTTTCGTAACAAAAGATGAATTTTGTTCCTCTTTTTTTGTTACCTTGCATTGAGTTTTTAACGGCAACGCTTCAGTGAATTTTGTTCGTTTGCGCACCTCTTCATGCGATTGTGTTGGAGTTCGTTTGCGAGTCTGCGGCTGCGTGCGTGCGAGTGTGTTGAGCGAACGGCGTGTGTTGATTGAGTTGTGTGCGTGAGACGAACGATGTGCGTAAGGTGAGAGATGTGATTGAGATAAGCGATGTGCGTTGGCCGAGTTGAGTGCGTGCGATGAACGGTGTGCGTTGAACGAGAGATTGGTGTTGGTTGAGTTGTGTATGTGTGAATGATTGGATGAGCGATGAGAGTGAGATGCGTGTGGATGATAACTTGCGTTACTGATTGATTTGCGTGGCGGAACTACGACAACTGACTTCAATTGGTGTTGTGTGTGTGTATGCGAATTTTCGTTCGATATCGGTGACAACGGCGTGAATTGCACTGTTATTTGTTGTTGCAGCTCTTTTATCTTCGGGGTTAGTGAACCGACTTCGGTCGAGCGCGGCGATAGTTCGATGTTTAGAACGTCTTCTTCTTGTTCACTTTCGGACAATGCGAGCAATTCTTCTTCACACTTTTTTAACAAATGTTCGTAGTCAGTCGAAGGACCATGTTTTCTCTTGGAAAAAGACACTAAATTAAAAAGAACGATGATTT